ATTTATATATATATTTTACATATATATATGGTTTTTACTAAAAGCTATTCCATTGGCAACCATTACTTTCTTTTTTTATTGTTGTGCTGGGGGTACATTGTGGCATTTACAAAAGTTCTTACAATGTGCCAAATAGATCATACTTGAATTCACCCCTCCATTATTCTCCTTTATACCCCCTCCCCGATTCCTGAAATAGTTTCAACATGTCTCATTTTCCCATTTGCATACAGGTAAATGCATGTACACAGCATGTGCACTACATTCACCTTCCTACACCTTTTCCCCAAATCCTCCCCCTTCCACTGGTACCAACCACCCAGACAGGACCTGTCTGCCCTCTTGTTTGCTGTTTTTGATAAAAAAAAAAAAAAAAAAAGACATTTTTGCTTGCTTGTCAGTTTTAGGTAGCTCCACAGGGAGTTTCCTTGTGACTTTTCCATGCATATATGTATTATAAACCAAACTGGTTCACCTCCTCTATTTTTCTCATTTCTGCCTTAGTACCCTTCATATAAGATTTCAACAGGTTTAAAAATTCTATACCCATTTTTGTATTGGAAGTGCATCAATCACATTCACCTACTTAACTTCCTTCTTTTACCCTTCCTCTCTTGTTTGTATTTCCCCTTAGTGTGACCTGGTTTTCATAATATTGCTTGTATTTGTATTAGATCTATATTCCACAGATGAGAGAAAACATGAGGCCTTTGGCTTTCTGAACCTGGATAACTTCACTTAAGATGATATTCTCCACTTCCATCCACTTTCCTGCAAATGACAAAATTTCATTCTTCTTTATGGCTGAATAAAATTTCATTGTATATAAATATCACATTTTCTTGATCCATTCATCAGTAGTGGGGCATCTTGACTGTTTCCATAGCTTGGCTATTGGCAAGCATTAATTTTCTCATCAAAATAATATGAAGATAGTTGTATGTTTCTATTACTGTGGCTCATAGCACAAACTTAACTTATGCCATGTGCCAGGCAGCTGTGATAAGGGTTTTATACGTACTATATCATAGAATGTGCACACAAAAGAAATAAAGAGAGCACTTTTGGCCCTCCTTTTACAGTCAAGGAAAGTAAGTTTTAGAGAAGTTATTTATCTTGTTCAAGATTACATAGGTGGGTGGTGGCCTAGCTCAGGATATGTAATATATACATATATATATATATATATATATATATAGAGAGAGAGAGAGAGAGAGAGAGAGATGATAGATTTTACATATATATATAGATATATAGAGAGAGATGATATATAGATGACTATTCTATAAAATAATGTTCTTTTATATGTAGAGATAATATACATATTATCTCAAAGCCCTGAGTTCAAACTCCAGTACTGCCAAAAAAGAAAAAGAATAAAAGAGTCAGCTTCAGTCAGGTAACTTATGATCTATGGCATTTTCAGAGATGCCCCTTCGACCTATTATAAACATTGGCACACCTACATTTTAGACATTTAGCCTGTAACATAATATTATAATACCAGATAAAAGCCAGGGATGAAATGAGCCAAAATGAACAGACGGCAGACGTGGAGCTTAGCACCTCAATCAAAGCAAAAGCTTTTATCTGAAGGCTGAGGCAGGTAGGTAACAATGCCAAGGATACAGACATGAGGCAAATAACAGAAAGTGAAGACAAACTCTGAAGCACAAGAGTTGGATTTGGAATGCCCACATACCGAATTAAAACAAATAATGAACGTCTTGGAGTTCTGGATATAAAAATCATCAGGTACTTAAGTACGATGAAGCCTGGCTAGTGCTTTTGTTGCCAAAAGTGCTAATAATCCTTCATAGAAGTCAGAAGGCCAAAGAATCCAGATAGGGCTGGAGATGAGGGCCTTTTTTCTCAGGGACAAATCACCATAAAACAAATTAATTGCTGAGGAAATGCCTTTCTATGTCTTCCCATCTTACATTGAATTTTAAATTTTTATTTCTGATTTTAAAAGAGAAAGATGGTCAGTGTGGGATTAAATCAAGGCTATTCATTCTGAAAGAAGAAAACAGATACCTGAATTATTAAAATGAAGAAATTGAGTCAATTGGAGCAGAGATTATCATAAAGAAAAAAAATTCCATTAGCAGAATACAATTAACAGAATCCTTGTAGTAAAATTTAGAAAATGGTAGATTTTTATAAAGTTTATCATTTCATCACATAACCAAAATGTTCCAAGGAGAATTAGTTTGCTAATGTTTCCTTATCATTACATGCTAATAATGCCATATATTATTTACAAACAAATCATTAAGTTACTATGAAGATTGTGTCACACACTCACATTGGCACAGGCATTAATAACTGCAGATACAGTCATTCAAAACATACCACATATATGCAATATTCTAAGAAGTGATTCAGAAAAGTATTCTTGAAGTGAAACTGCTTCCTATATAAAAAATCAGTAATAATAGCAAATATTCTTATTTTATTAACCAAGTACATATTACACCTACTAAGTATGAGGCACTATTTCAAACATTTTATTCATCCAATCCATATAACAGTCCTCTAATATAGTATCATCAACATCATTATAACCACCTCTACCACCATCATCATCCCTATTCACTAGAACCTGGAGCACAAAGAGGTTAAGTAACTTGCCCAAGAGCTCACAGCTAAAAAAAAAAAAAAAGGTTCCAAGATTCAAGGTCAGCCATTCCCTGTTCTATGACGACTGCAAGTATTTGTATGTTCTTGGCAAGAACACAAGGGAAGTCTGACAACCACAGAGAAGTAGAAATACACGAGAATCAGTTGCAGGTCCTAGTATAAGTGAAATCAGAACTCAACTGGGACAGTTTCAGTTTATACTTAATGGTCCCAGTGTAATTATTAGTAGTGTCCATTGTCATTCTCAATGGTCTCCATGTTTGGGCAATAAATTGTAGAATCAACCTTTTAGTCCCTATTCTACCACGGGCATGGTTTTTAAGCTTTGCTGTCTGTAAGTTCCCTGTCTATAAAATGAGTATTGTAATATTCATCCTCTTTCTGCATCACAAGATGTATTGTGGTATTATATGTAAGAATGCAAATATAAGGTATTTTTGAAATGTTACCAATGTCAGATAGTTGTATAGGTAATGCTCCCATCATGTGCAGTGTATGAAGGTGGACGCTTTACATTTGCTAACGGATTCATTACCCATGAGTACCCAATTCTTTTTTTGTTCCTCCAAAACAAACATTTATGATAGAAATCTTGGTGTCAGCATAGAGTACAAACAAATCATTAAGATACTATTAACCATTATTACTGAACCAGAAACTCTGTCAAGGAACTTGAAAAGGAAGCTTTGTTAATTTCTTTAAATAACATCCATTCATGGCTGACTCATTATTTCCACTTAAGCAAGAAAAATGAGCAGAATAAAAAGAATAAACTCTTCTTATTAAAAAATACAGTTAAAAGGGCTAGTACTTATAAGTAATTCATTAGAAAGAAAAGTTACAGATTTGTTTTACAAAGGAAAAAGTACATTGAGAGCTTGCTACTGTAGTAATGAATTGAAATTCATGAAAAATCACCTACATTTTGGGAATGAGGGTGTTAGCAATTTTATTACAACCTTTCCCTTTCTTTACTCTCTTTTATCTCACTACATGTACTCATCTGTGATCAAAAATAAGGGAAGAAAACTAAATGTATTGTTTCTTTATTGTCTTAAATTTTGTTGCACTTTGAAAAAATCGTATTTTGGGTCATAGTTCCCTTCCATAAAGTGGGTTCTTTCAATAAGCTGATCCCCATGAAATTCATAGCTTTGCTAACCATGCAGCAATATATCATGTGAATGGAGGAGCTTAATAAATGCTTCAGACTGAGACAAGAATAGAGATTATGATAGTGTGAATAATTATACCTGGAAAAAAATGGAAGAAAGGAAAGAAGGAAGGATGGATGGATGGAAGGAAGAGAGGGAGGGAGGAAAGGAGGGAAGGGAAAGAGAAAGGGAAGGGAAGGAAAGTAAGAAGGGAAGGGGGTAAGGGAAAGGAAGAAAGAAACAAGGAAGACAGGGAGAAATCTTTTGGGTATATAAAAACATAAAGTGTCAGATTTGTAGCACTGCCTTCATTTCTCACTCCAGTGAAATTTGATCTGTTAGTCATGAAAGTGAAATACAAAGCCAAGATATATAAATGCAATTTCAGCTTTTTGAAATCTCTTTTTATCTTTATATATCATAGACAGTGGCTGTGAAAGTAAATAATGTGTGTGGTCAGGTGACCTGAGTGCCAGTGTTAGCTCTTCTTCTCATTAACTACCAAAGAACAAGTGAGCCGCTTGAATTTTATAAGCCTGGATTTTGTAATGGTTCCTGAGACATCTCAGATGTGAAACAATAGAAAAGATTATGTATATCTTTGGTCTTTTGCAGCTTTTGTTTATTTACATTTCGAAGCTGTCAAATGATTGACTAATTATTTTCTATGGACAGCCTAAGGTCTTTATGAAGGAAAATAAAAACTATTAAATGAGTAATGTTTGTGTTATGTTTCTCACAGAAATGTAAAATTTTTAACATTATTTGAGATTGCATGCCAAAACCCAAACAACGGCTTAACTATGGATAATAAAAGTAAAATATTTACTATTAAAATATTTATGGTTATTCTTTATAACATTGCAGTATCCAAGACCAGAGCTTCTGACTTTAAGTTGACCTGTGCTTTCTATGAAAAACATTTTCATACTTGTGAAAAAAAAAGTATAATCGCTGTAAAACAATAGTTTGTGAACACTACTTCAGACTTTCTAATCATACTCTAGGGAATCCAACAGCTCATTTCCTCTGAACTTTTATTACTTATGCTTTATGTTAAGAGGTTACATTGGTTTGCAAAGGCATTAGTTAGCCAGAAAACTAGTCCCTAGAGCACTTGTTTCATTATTAAATGCAAACAAGTTACCAAACTACAGGATGAAGGTAACTTTCACATTTACCAAAACAACCTAATGGACTTACAGAAAACAGGTAACATTCTATTCTTGATTATTCAGCATATCCACTTGAAACAGGGCATACACAGGCTTTTCCAAGAAGCAAACCATCTTCATCATCTCTGATTTCTTGGAAGAAAAAAATCATGGCATGTATAGACACGAGTACATGTAAAGATATAACAAAGGCACTACCTACTAGGATTGAAGAGCTCAGTAGAGAGGATTATGGGGCCATTATCAACCCTTTTCTCTCTAGAGGGTTGTCTCCTTGTATGGAGACAGGTACAACTTCATTCACACAACTTCCCCAGCACCATAATTCAGTTATATATTGTGCCCATAGTCAGTTAAATACATAACAATGAAAATCCTTCACTCACAAAACTGTTTATCAATGATAGACACTATAATCATAATTCATCACAATAAAGGAAAAGCCTGCTTGATCCAGCACTTATCTTACATGTTATTTGATTTTAAAGAGACTATAAACTATAAGAAGAATTTGTCTGGTGTCCTATTTTATGCCAAATTTTACTATATAGTTCCGAAAAAGAAAAAAACTGCTTATTTTTTTAACATTAACAACAAAAACTCACTGATAGAAGAATGTTGTGGTGCAGGTTAATGCAGAGTATAGTGGAAGAAAATCTAACCCAAGAATAAGGCATGATTCTGACTCTGAAACCTTTGAAAAATTATATTTTCTCTTTAAGGCTTAGTGGTTTCATATAAAATAAGGACACTGAATTCAATTAAAAGTTTTTTAACTTGTCCTGGGATGAGAATCTTTTTTTCAACAAAATATGCTAATGAACCCAACTGTAAAACTGATAAAGGGACCTGCTCTAGTTGAAAAAGATGGCAGAAAACCCAAGTATCACTCCCTGCTGCCCAGTCCAGATTGCAAACCACTAAGCTTTAGAATCTCTAAGATCACGTCTGTGATTTCAGGTGGATGAAAGAGAATAAATAAAGTAGATGTTAGTTCATAAAAGCCAATAGTGAGCTATCTGAGGTTCAGGACAACAGTTTAATAGAATGATAAAGGGTAAGGAACTGATGGCCCCAACTCACTGGTTTTATCTTCTGGCTAGTGGAGCCTTGTTTTAGAGAATCCCTTTTATTTTGCTATTGCTCACTTCTGGCTTGAGAAGCCAGAGTCAAATAATAGAATCAATTTAAAATGATTAAAGTCATTACAATAAAAGTCATATTTCTTATGCATACCAGTTCATTCTCTAAGGAGAGCCAAATTACACTTACAGGTTCACAAAGGCTATAAGCAAAGAGAAGAAAGAAAAAAAGATAAAGAAGAGAAAAGGAGAGAGAAAGGAAAGAAAACCAGAAATTTTAATTATAGTGCTTTAGCAAAGACCACAAATTGTCCTCCAATATTTATTCTCCTTCCTTTTAGCAGTTCCCCCCATTGCCTTTCACTATTAGCTGAATACATAATTGTCTGTTCCCAATCTATACTTCCCATAGTCCTTTGCACCTAGGTATGGTCATATGATAAAGCTCCAGCCAATGGAATATGAAAGAAAGTTATGCAAGCTACTTCAAGCTACATCCACATTATGGAAGCTGCTTTCCCCCCTTTATGAAACTCAGGCTAGAATGAGGACATAGTGGTGATAATTCAACTTTTATTATGCAGATGGGAGTCATATGCTAGACAAGGCAGAGAAGTAATGTGGATTCCTTGATGTTAGGAAAGAAACTCCAATATACTTTCTTCCTTTTCTGAGTCACTGATATTTCAGGGTCTCTTTGGTACACTAAAGAAAGCTTAGAAAGGAGCCTAGATTACATACTAATGAATGTAAGTTTTTTTTTCTACCTGATTAATAACTAAATATAGGGAAAACAAAACAAAACAAAAAGGATTAGATGCAAAGAGACAACATTCATTATGTATTGTCTTCATGTGCTCCTCCTGTATGTTACAAGAGTTAAAATCCCTGGGGAGACTTAACTCTCGCTCAATTTTTAGAGTGTCAGGTCACACTAAGAAAGCTTCATAAAGTGATTCTGAGGGTTTCCACACACATTTTAGGTAGGTCGTATTTCAAAAGTCCAAAAGAAACTTCAGCAGGAGTCTGAAACTATTCACTACAAGTCACATACTAGCTGTGACGGCCAGCTAGTTTCCTATTACATGGAGCTTAAAATTATACTTTTTTTGTTATCACACAAACATTTCCACCTGGATATTTTGTTTAGCAGATGGATTTGGCATGGAGTTGATTAAATATGAAATAATTCTAGTCTCTTTACTCTTAATTTCATTCCTCATATTAATAAAATAGAGTGATAGAGTAGATTATAAAGACTATGTACACAAGCTGGGCATGTACAGACTTGAGTATGCAGCATATAAGTAAGCACAAAGCAACTATATTTTATGTTTGAGATTGTTCTCTTTCCCCAGAGCATTTTCTCTATTTATATGGAAAATACCATATGCAATTATAAAAATTTATTCTTTGAAATATTACTAAATTTCTCTTTAATTCAATATATTTTACTCTTCTTGTATATTTGCTACTAAGATATTTGAAGGCTATTTTTGAGTCCATTTAAATAATCCAGATAATTAAACAGTAAAATGGTGCAAAAATAGGTTAAAAATGGTGACACAACAAAAATGTATTGCATGTCCTGACATTCCATTTTTCCTCCAATCTTTGTTTGCTTTTCTGTCTATGTACCATAATAAAACATAGAGTTACAATCAATGTGTGATGACAAATGGTCTCAGGGTTGGGTTTGCATTCTTCTAAATGTACTGGCATTTGTAAGCTGGAAAAGAAAGATGTAATCAACCACCCTCAGACAAAAAAAAAAAAGCATGATGACTATTCTGGCAAAATGTTCAAACCACATTAATCCCTAATTTGAAATGATGTCTGAAAGAAAGCAAAGCAACTAGGACCAATTTATTTGTATAGCAACTAGAAACTGAATTCACTAGACATATTTAAGAGATGGAAACAATTAAATGTGTTTGTTTTCTAAATAGACCAAGTATATTAGAAACTTTGAAGGTAAAAAAAATCCAATTTTACTAGACTATTATTTGTTGCTGCAAAATACTTAAATCATTTTCTTTAATGGTCCTCAGAGGTTGTTCTAATAAAACATGCTATTTTTAAGAGTGAATAAACAATCTGTTTGATTTTACATTATCCATATGTCATAGAGTTTCACTCTAATTAGCAGCATACAGAAGGAAGCACTGTGAGGAAGGATAGGTCAACTTAATGCCATTTCACGGAAGGGCACTGTTGGTTTTCATTCTTATTTTTTAAAGATGTATTTTGATGTTTTCTTCTTGTATACACATCAAGTTTCTATAGTATGCTATGAAAATTTAAGTAAAATTGTGTCACGTTAGTCCTCTTAGGTGTATACCAAGGCACAATAGGTACTTCATTTGAACTCAACAATTGCTTTGGCTCCAAGGAGACTGAAATAGTGGCACTGCTATCCAGAAAAACGTCCTGCTCCAAATGTGGAATGGCCAGATACCAGCATATCATCAAGACTTTGGCTAATACGTATTTCCTGACCACTCAATCAAGGAGAGTGTCTTTAAGACCAAGTGTCCTAGACTCTCTGGCGTCTTTTCCCTGGGGCTAAATCCCGATGAGTCTGGCTAAGAGAGGTGGCTCTTTATACACCATAATGAAGCCCAGGTCTGGGAGGGCAATCCTGCCAAGGTCCTACTGAAGTTTGCCAAGAATTGATGCTACAGAGTATTAAAAACAGGACCGGGCCTTTGTCAGTTCTCTTACATACCACTAGTTTGTAGAAGACTGATGAACCTTTGAATGAGTACACATCAAGTGGAATTTGTTTTCAGTAAGGATCACACATGAACGGTGAAAGCACATGAAGCCTGCCCGTACATGGAAGGCCCAGAAAAGATTGATAGGAAAGGCAGAAAATATGCTACTTAAAAAAAAATCTCATTATTGCATAACCCCAAGAATTCAAGGACTCTCCTCAGAGTTTATTTACTTTGTGCAGAAACACTAATAAATTCAAGTGCAATGCATGTTCTTAACAGTAGCTATTCCTCCTAGAAATCTATCTAGAGTTAGGAGAGTGTATTTGACTGATATTGGTCTCTGTAAGCAGATGAGAAAAGAGCTAAGGAGATTCTGCTGATAACAGCATTCAGCCTCTAAGATGTCTGGAAGATAAAGTACTGGTAAGACAACTAAAGCATGTCTGAAACATTAAGTTGAATTAATTGCTTCATTCTATATTAGTATAAATTTTCATTTTAATTGAGCTAAAAACTAATGTATGTTGCAGATACTGTAATTGTATTATTCACCACTTTGGCTAAAGTACTTAAAAGATTTAAGTGTTTCATTATCTTAAAAAGTACATTAAGAAGTATCAGAGCTGGGCACCCAGTGGCTCACACCTATAATCCCAGTTCCTCAGAAGGCTGAGGTCAGGAGGATTGCAGTTCGAAGCCAGCCCTGAGAAAATAGTTCACAAGACCCTATCTTGAAAAAAAAACCCATTAAAAAAAAAGGGTTGGTGGAGTGGCTCAAGGGATAAGAGTGCCTGCCTAGCAAGCGTGAGACCCTGACTTCAATGCCACCAAAAAAAAAAAAAAAAATCAGTCGGGTGCAATGGTTCATGCCTACAATTCCAGCTATTCAAGAGGTAGAGATCAGGAGGACTGCAGTTGGAGGCCCAGACAAAAAATTAGGGAAACCCCAACTCAACCAACAAGGTGGAAGTGTGGTATACCTGTCATTCAACTGCACAGGAGGTCACAAATAGGAGGGTTGTGGTCCAGGCCTGCCCTGAGCAAAAACATGACACCCTATCTGAAAATAACTAACTCAAAATTGGGGGCATGGCTCAAGTGGTAAAGAGCCTGTCTAGCAAGTTCACAACAAAACCTCCTTTAACAATTAATATACACTAATAAAAAAGAATCAAAATATAAATAATGTATGTACTACAAATAAATTTTAAAAGAAATTCACGTAAGATTTATTTATGTAATATAGAACTTGTTCAGGGGAACATATAAAGGATACAAAAATTTGAAAAGACTTTTAAAAGAGAAGCTTTCAAAATGCTAAATATTGTTG